ATTGATGGACTCAAGTGTGGCAGCAGTAGTGAGGTTGGCCCAGGATCGGACATTGTTTCGTTCTGCTGTGCATGGGGTCGCTATGAGTCGGTTCCGACTTGATGGCACCTGACAACAACAACAACATTCATATGAAATCTCCAGAAAAGGCAAATCCATCGAGAGAGAGATTAACCTAAAGGCTGGCGATTTGGAGAGATTAACCATTAAAAAAAGCCTGGAAATCCACTTCTATAAAGATCTCAGCCTAGAAAACTCTATGGATCAATTCCATTCTGTAGCACACGGAGTGGACATGAGTCAGAACGAACTCAAAGGCAACAGTTTTTGATGTTTCTGTTATAGTTATTATGGAGTGGAAGAGTTGTTGTTGTTAAGTACCACTGAGTCACTTCTGACCCACAGCAACCCTGTAAAGGGTTCCCCAGGAGCAGCCGGTGGGTTTGAATTGCTGACCTTGTGGCCCAAACTGACCTTGCGGTCCAGCGCATTATCCTGCAGCACCACACCAGGACTCTGGCATGGCAGAGGAGGGTAGCTAAAGAGAGAGTGACTGCTAATGTTTAGGATTTCTTTGGAGGATCATGAAAATGTTCACAAATTTATTTATATTAGATAATAGTTGCACAAGTCTATGAGTATATGAAGGAAAAATGAATTGTACACTATAACTGGTGAATTATGTGTTATATAGACTATATCTCAATAAAGCTGTCAAAAAACTCAACCCAACATTCAATCTCCAATTCAAGTCCATCCAATCCCAGCTCTCATCACAACTGGTCCCATCTTGACTCAACAAACTGCCAACCTCCTACTCCAGCCACCCCTGTTTACCTCTAAGTTCATCCCACTCTTCCAACCAACCCTAATGCAATTCAGCCCAACATCCAACTCTAAACCCTTCATATACTCGACCTTCCAAAGCTATCTCCACACCAAAGGACACACCTACTCAATTGAGAGGGGCAGAGGCAGGTGCCTCAGGTGACACGAGTCAGACCCTGGGCATCACCAGATGAAAGAAGTAGGCAGAGACAAGAACACACAGTTCACCAGTTTATTCTCAGATTTGAGATGCCAATTATGCCCTGTGGCCTGGGTCAGAGGGGCACTGGGATTCTCTCATCATATCCCAGCCCTCCCTAAGGAGGAAGCAGATTAAATATACAACAGAGGGGATTTTCCCTTTTAATACAAACCCAAGTATAAATAGGGCAGCACCATTAGGATCCTGATTCATCTCCACCATCTTGGTCCCCAAACCACCTGGCATAGCAAGGTGAACTTGGAGAGATGGGGGAGTATCCAGAACTGAGCTGAGGCAGTGGAAGGAGCCCCCAACTCAGCCAAGGAAAGTCTTACTTCCCTCTGTGGTCTGACTTCAGTCCCTTCACTGTGGACCCACTTGGGAATAGAAATGAACAAAGGGATCTCAGCCTTGGGGGATGGGATCAGGAGACATCCAGTGCTTAACTATGGGGAAGGGTAGCACCAAAGGGTGTTGAGGGCACTGATTGAGTAGGGGGAGGCAGACCTGAGGGCCATTCATCAGCTCTGAGTTAGAAGTTCATTGCATGGAGGTTTAGAGATAGGGAGTCAAGGGCTGTGTTGGAATAGAGGGGGAAAGAATCAGTTAGGCCATCTGGGAGGTGGGGAGGCTAGACTCTTGGTTCAGGGGAATCAAGTCCCCAACCCTCTGGAAGGGAGAAGAAATATTTCTTGACCATCTTGAGCAGACCTTCTCCTGGTTCCACAGTCGCAGGAGATGATAAATATGGCGGCTTCATAGCCTCAGCACCAAATGTGCCCCTTGTGGGGCTCCCTCACTGTCCCTCCCACTCCCCAAACTCTCAACTGCTAAAGCAGACAGGACCAAGCTCAAACCCAAACTTTTGGTTTGTCTGGCCAAAGTCAGTAGCCGCCACATCCCACAAGGGTAGAAACCCAACTCTGGAAGAGCTGAACTCCAAGAGGGTCTTTGCTTGTCCTTTCCGGAGCTGTCCACAAAAAGACATGGATGAATGGATGATGAGTCAGGAACGACAGCCGAGGCCTTCCGCCTCTCCCCACCCCCCAACTATGGCCAGCTCCACCCCTCCCTCTTACCCGACAGCCATCATGAGGGACATTGATGAGGGCTGCTGCAGTCTGGTTGAAGGACACCTCTTCTCCATTGGCTCCAAGGAAACGGAGGGAACGGCCATGGTCACCTGCAGCTTCATCCAGCCAGGCAGCTGAATTCTGGCAGGAGTAGGTGAAGCGCTGGTGGGCTGTGGCGCTTAGCAACTTTAAGAAGGTCAGCTGTACCACGTTCACTGGGGACCCATCAGCATCCACATAGGAAAACTGGGGTGGGGCAAAGCAGAAGTTGGGGTGTTTCATTTACCCCCACCCTTTCTGAGGAATCCACCTCCCAGAATCTCCATTCATCGACAGACCTGCCACCTCTGCCATGTCCCCATTTTGGGGGCAGCCCCACCAGCCACCCAGTCATCCAAGGTAGAATCCTAAGAGAAATCCTGCGCCTCTGCTCCACTTGTCTCTTCATCTAATAGATTCCTATGACTGGCTCATTTGACCACCCAAATCTTGGTCCCTTGGCTTACCATCTCCAGATGGTCTTAAACATCCTCATCTATACATAGAACCCACAATTCCACCTCTAGTTCAAATCATCCTCTTGTACTCCCTAGTCCTATGAAATTAATCATCTCCTAACTATTGCTGTTGCTGAGTGCTGCCGAATTGGTTCTGATTCATAGTGACCCTGTATAGGGTTTCCTATTAATGACTGCTGAGTTTGAACTGCCAACCTTGCAGTTCAAATTGACCTTACAGTCCAGCACATTATCCTACAGCACCATATCAGGACTCCCTGGAATAGTCTATGTTATTATTGTTAAGTACCACTGAGTCAGTTCCAACTCACAACAACCCTATATAGGGTTTCCGTGGAATAGCTGATGGGTTTGACTGCCAACCTTGTGGTTCGCAGTCCAGTGGTGATCCTACACACCACACCAGAAGTCCTATCCACTGTCAAATATGGTAGCCACAAGTAACAGTTAGAATGTGTCCAGAGAAACTAAAGAATTGAGTTGTTTTTGTTTTTTAAATTTTATTTATAAGTAATAATTGAACCTCAAGCCAGTTATCAACTTGAAACTTGAGTCCGTGAATCTACTTTTCCAATTGTAGATTTTATGAAATCTAAAAATAGCACAAGTATTTCTAATGAAATGTATCATCTGAGTTGAGATGTGCTGTAAATGTAAAATAAACACATTTTGAAGAACTGATGGAGACAATATGATTTTTTTTATAGTGGGTTAAATAAAACATTTAAAATATAACATGCCTGAGATAACTGGATTGCCAACACATTTTTTTGGCTCCCTCCTTTTCCCTGTATCCTCTCCACATTCCCCAAATCACCTTGTAGATTAACTACTAGCAATTGAGTTCTTGCTTCCAAGTCCACTTTGGAGGAATTCAAACCAAGACACATCGTCACATAACAGTAGAGCTGTATTTGTTTTCTGGGTTATTGAAGGTCTCTCTCACTACCATATCAGCTTCCTGAAGTCAGGAACTGTATTGTATTGGCTACTATGTGCTCATTATTTAGTATACATGTTGTTGTTAAGTGCCATCAAGTTGGTTCCGACTCCTAGTGACCCTGTATAGGGTTTCTGAGGAGGAGCTGGTGGGTTAGAACCACCAACCTGTGGTTAAGAGTCCAGTGCTTATCCTACAGTGCTATACCGGGACTCCAGCATCCATATCTATGTTAAATAAATGAATCTCAATCTGAACCCCATATTCCCTCAATCTGAACCCAATATTCCCAAATCTGCCCTTCCTCTAATCTCCACATCTCAGAGAGTATTTCCAGACACCAGTCATCCAATCCAGAAACATGAGCATCATCCCCAACTCCTTCCCTACTCCATTTAGTTACCAAGTCTGGCTGATGTGCCCTTTTAAACATTACTCCAAGTCATGCCTTCCTCTCCATCCTAGCAGTATCAAACTCTCAGTCCAGAACCCCTCTTTGCTCTCCTACACCACCACACCAGCCTCCCTTTGGATCTCAAGGCCCCAGGCCACTCCCCACATCAACCCCAGATGTATTTCTCTAACTAAAAAAATTGGACCTGGGTCCCTCTCTCGCAAGTGTTTTCATGATCAAGTCTTCATCCATGTCCCTAGTCTCGTCTCCTGCTACATTCCCCCTTCTCTAGGGCAGAATGAGGAGCTTCTTCTTCAAATTCATCAACCCTTTCTTGACTCTGGACCTTTGCCTATGTGGTTCCCTCTACCTGAACCACTTTTCCTGGCTCTCTCTAACCAGCTAACCCAAATCTTCCAACAGAAGGCCTTCAGGTACTGCCCCACTCGCAGCCTGCCAGCTCCAGTCAGTCCTGTTCATGTTGACCCTCTCCCCCCCTTCCCCATGCTGGTTCCTGCTGACTGCCATAGTCTCCCCCACCTCTGCTTCCAGTGACTCACCTTCTTCCCCCGCCGGAATGTGCTGTACCAATTTCCTGGCTTTTCTCTGGACCAGGAGGCCAATTTCACCTGGGGGAGGGAAGAAGGGTCACTAGAGCTGACAACACCTTTGGTGCCCAGTCTGGGGCTCCTTGATGGAGAACCCCAGGATTTCTGGGGGACCATGCGATCTCACTTTCCAGCCTGCAGCTTGGAAAGCAAGTAGAGCTTATAAGGTAGCAAGTTAGAGGTTGTGTATCCGCATGGTGAAGGCTGGGAACTCAGAGAGCCAGGCTGCTATGGACAATGCCCAAGGCCTCAGGATTCCCATCTGGGTGGTGACATAGAACCACCATCACCAGGTACTTGGTGCTCAATCAGTCAATGCGCTCAAGTGCTTAGAACAGGCATGACACATAGAAGCACTATTTGAGCGTGTCCAGTGTTGTGGATTCCTTTATTCGTTTTCCTGTCTGTCACCCCCACAGAAGGTAAGAACCCGAGAGCAGAGATTCTGTCTCCAGGCCCTCACTCCGCCCACCCCAGCGGCACTCACCGTCTCAAACTTCTTGTCCGGGTACAGACAAGTCTCTCCTCCTGCCGTGAAGTTGCAGAAAACCCTGAGCGCATCCTTTGCGCAGCCTTGGTTGGGGTCAATCCAGTATTCCCCTGCCGCAAAGCCAGGCGAGGTGGGTGAGTGAGGGTGAGGCCCGCTGATCCCCCAGTCCACCCGAGGAGGGTTGGAGCTCACCATCCGGAAGCTGTGGGTGGTTGCGATACAGCTCTCCGCACACGAGTCCGGGGCGCTCGGCTGTGCCTGGCGGGCGCCGTAGCTGCTCCACCTCGAAGCTCAGAGACGTGAGCGAAGCTAAGACCTCCTCCAGGCCGCCCGCTGTGGCTTCGTCCAGGCCGCCCAGAAGTGGGAGGGAGCGCCGACGACGGCGCAGCCCGCGCAGCTCCGCTGGGGGACCCTGGGGATGTGGTTAGAAGCAGAGGAGATGGAGACAAACAAGGTGGGGAAGGAAGAGATCCAGAGGGAACCCGAGACATAAGGAGCAGAGGACAAGGGGTGTGGTGTGGTAGGAGAGACCCACGAGCCACAGAGTGGAGGCACAGAGACAGGAAAGGAAAAGATAGAAACGCAGAGAGACACCAAGAAAGGAGAGACAGAAAGACCCCGAGATCAGAGAGGCCAAAGTAATAAGACAGTGAAAGAGAGAGAGACAGAGAGGAGAGATGCGGAAACAGAACGGAGACAGCAGAAAGAGAAACAGATAGTTGGGAAGGTTTCAAGCAGACAAACAGCAACAGGCCAAGAGAGATAGATGAAGATGGACAGAGAGGCAGAGCAAGATGATGTGGAGACAGTCACCCAAGATAGCCAGGTCAGCTCTCTAGTAAGATTGCCCCCTCACTCTCCCCACCTCTCTTGGAGGCCAGGCCTTTCCGAACTTTCAAGGAACTGCCCTCCCCAGCTACATGCTCTAAGAACTACTGTCAGCCCTGAGGACCCAGTGGGGACATGCAGACATAGTCCCTGTCCTCCCCACCTCCCCAGATCCTGGGAAACTCACCGGGGGCCCAGGAGGCCCGGGTGGACCAGTATCTCCTGGGGGACCAATGGATCCCTGCAGAGAGAGGCCACTTAAGGGTGGCTCTGTGGAGACCAGGGGTGGGAGGGCCCTTTCCATCACCACCACCACACAACACACACACACACACACACACACACACACACACAGCCTTGGGGAAGGACATATTTTGTTCAACACTGGGTATAAGACGCACTTCCCCCGCCCCTATTTTAACATCTCTGAAATCAGCATTCATCTTAACATCTTCAGCAAGTCATAGTTTCCTTGACAGAATTGTTTTCTGGGCCATTTGTAAAATAATGATGCATCTTGAAACTGATAGCATCTTAGATTTGATGGAATACAATGGTAGGATTGAATGAATAAATTAATGCATAAGGAGACATCAAGGGTCCCAGCAAAGTAGAGGAGAAGGAGCTGGAATATGGTAGCCCAAGGGAGCATCATGTACTCACCAGGGACCCTTTTGATCCCTTCTGTCCCAGAGGGCCCTGTGGGGTAGAGACAGGAAGAGCTGGAATCCTGGATTGGCTTTCTGGGAAGGGGGACCCCACCCCACAAACGCCCTATACTCACTGCCACACCAGGGGCCCCAGGGTGGCCCAAGGAGCCAATAGGTCCAGGGAGACCCTGGAGAAAGGACATCAAGTGAAGAATTGATAAATTTCTCCCCAAACAAGTTTCCAATCTCCCCAAAAAGAAATCTCCAGCCCCTAGACACAGCCTCCAACCCACAAGTCCCTAAATATAAACCCCCATTTTCTCCAGACATAACCCTTATCATTCCCAATTCCTATCTCTCCACCCTGTAAGAATCATGGAGGTTCCCAAATCTCCACACCCACAGTCTGTACACAAGTCCATCCTGTGCTTCCCCTTTCTCTGTCCTCTCCTTTGAACAGACTCTTTCCACTCAGGACAGAGCACATACTCACAGGGTCTCCCTTGGAGCCAGGGGGGCCCTGCACGCCTGGAAATCCCTGATCACCTTTCTCGCCGGCTTCCCCAGGAGGGCCAATGAGGCCTATTAATCCTATGTGGCCCTAGAAAACAGAAGAGGCATATATGGGGGAACAAGTGGGGTGCTGGGAGATTTTTCTCCTGGAGTAATGAGTTTGGGAGCAAAGGAGACCCCAGTTTCCTAATCCCTCTGGCCAGGAAGGGAGGTCGAGGTGGGAGTATAGAGAGTGGGGGAGAAGAATGAAATGAGGTAGCCTTACCTTTTCCCCCTTGAAACCAGCATCTCCTTTCAGTCCTGGAAGGCCAGAGGGGCCCTGGAAGATAAGTAAGGGTCAGTTAGTGATTCTCAAGTGTAAACTCACAAGGTTCATGTGGGTGATTGTAGGAAGAAATTCCTAGGGATGTGGTTATGACAATGTACAGGAGAGGTTGATGAGGGATGATGAGGCGGTTGGTTAAAAGATGGTCAGTGTTCAAGACCAATATGGATGCTCCATGTGGGCCATGAAATGTAAAGTCAGTGTAGACCATCAAAATGGAAGGTCAACATGAGTAGTCAGTGTAGAGAACCAAGATAGAGGACCAGTGTGGTGGTTAGTGTAGACCATCAAGTTAGTAGGTGTGGTCAGTGTAAATGATGCAGAGTCAGTGTGGTGACCAGTGCAGACCATCAAAATGGAAGGTCCATATGATGGTCAGTATAAACCATCAAGATGGAGAGTCCATCTGGTGGTCAGTACAGGTCATTGTGATGGATGATCAAAGGATAGCTGGTTGGATGGACAGTCAGATGGATGGTCAGTGAATGTCAGCCTGCATTGTCAGCACTGATAGTCACTGAATGGTCACTGCATATAGTCCTCAGCACTAAGTCCTCAGGGACAAGGAAGTCTCTTACCAGGGGGCCGGGAGGGCCCATCTGTCCAGGGGAGCCCAGGAGGCCTGGTTCACCCTGAGGACGAAACAGAACATGGAGGGAGGTCCCACCCTGCCAGAACCCCAGCCCCATCAAGGTCAGCTCCTCCAAATTACATGAGAAATTAGCTAAGAGCACACACATCTACTGCCCCAGCCTTTGCCCACACGTTTCCACCCAACTCACCACAGGGCCAGGGATCCCTCGAAGACCCTCAGGCCCAACACGCCCAGGGGGTCCTCGTGCCCCAACTGGGCCTGTCCTCCCTGGGGGGCCGTCAGAACCTGGCTCCCCCTGAAACAGACAGGGCCAAGGGAGGACAAAGAGTCAGGAGAGAGCTACCTTCTAACAAGAAGCAAGAACCATCAAGAGGGGAAGGGATTGGACTACCTGTGGTGGTCATAGGTCCCCTCTCCATCCTAATGGCTTCACTGTTTGGCTAAAGGGTCAATGTGTGGGGTGGGGGCACTCACCTTGGCACCTTTCTGCCCTTCTCTGCCTTCCTGACCCATGCGACCTGACGGACCCTAAAGAAGGAAAAATAGTGTGAGTAGGGAGCCAGTCAGGTGAGTGAGAAAAGGTGGGAGTCAGGTATCCAGGAAGTGGGTGATACTTACCCTCTTGCCAGGGGGCCCAGGGGGGCCCGGTTCCCCAGAAGCACCAGGCGGGCCCTACAGAGATTGTAACAGCAACAGCCATAGCATTAGCTACTACTTATTGCAAATGCCATGTTTCAGGGTGCCTTTGGTCAGAAAACAGCGTTCCCCAAACATCACCCCCACACCAGCCATCTCCCATCTTCCCCAGTCATTCACATACCCCGCTCTCCCAGCACCATGCCTCTGTTCCCCCACTCACCGGACCCCCAACATCACCATGGTCTCCCTTCTCCCCTGGGGAACCATCTATACCCTGTGTGGGTGGGGGGGGGGGGGGGGATAGAGTTGGGAGGGGTCATGGGTATACTTGAGAATATGGAGAAGAGTGAGAATGATTTAACTTTACCCACCCTGCCCAGGTCTGTGGGTTGGGGAGATAGAGACAGAGTTAGGGAAAAAACTGGGCTTGGGGTTGGGTGAGATGGGGCGACTGGGACCATACCCACCATAGCTCCAGGGTCTCCTGGGGGTCCTAGGTCTCCTGGGAGCCCTGTGGGACCCTAACCCACATAGTAATTAATAATCGTATTGCTGAATTATTGAGCATTTATACATTCATTCATTGAACAGATAAAATGACCCATAGAAACCCTAGGTGTCTATAACCGCTGACCAGGGCTGAGGACCAAACCCAACATCTCTGTGCTGGTAGAGCAGACATTGCGGAGGTTGATGGGGTAGGAGCTGAGCTGAGGCTTTGACACACATCTCATTTCATCCTCCCAGAAGCCTCCAGCTCAGGACTCACAGAAGGGACCATCACTCATAGCACAAGTGGGTCACAGCAAGCGGGAGAAGCGATGAGATCCAAATTGAGGTCCCACAGATTCTGGGACTCCTCACTACCCCCTGAAGAGGCTCAGCTCAATGGCCAAAGGGCCTAAACCTCCATCCCATGCCAAATGCCCATCTCAACCTCATCCCTTGACCTTTCCAACACTGAGAATAATTCAGTGGAAAAGTCAGCTATACTCCATGCAATAAGGTATAACTACTGTATTTTTTGGTTCAAGCTCACCAGCTACTCCTTGGAAACCCTGTACAGGGTTGCTATGGGTCGGAATCAACTCGATGGCACTTGACAACAACAACTGTATTTTTATGTTGTTAGATTGATTGGTTCATTCATTAATCCATGTTCTGGGTTGCTCAGGGGGGTCAATGAATTCAAACACGAGATCCCTGGCTAAACGTTGGGGAGTAGGTTGGAGTGTCCAAGTGTGTTCATCCCTCTGCCTCCACCTCCCCTTTGCCCCCATGTCTCCCCACGACTTACCACACTCCCTTTGGCTCCATCCTCTCCAGGAGGGCCTTTTTTGCCTGGGGGTCCAGCAGCACCAGTTGGGCCTGAGTCCCCCTTTTCACCAACTTCTCCCTTGGGACCCTTTGCAGAAACAGAGGTCAAAGTTTAGAGTAGCCTAAACTCTCCAGGGATTAAGGGTTAGCATATCTGGAACTTCTTGGGGTCATGAGTCAGAGTAGTCTAGGCTGCTCAAAGGTCAAAGGTCATAGAGACCTAGGACTTCTAGGGGCATAGATTGGTCCAGTTACCCAGAGGTCATGGGCAAGAGTGTCATGGGCCACCTTTGAGCAAATTAAAGAGGGCCCCCCATCTGAGTAGCTTATCAATAAGCCAGGGCTCATGGTTTGGAGATGAGCCCCACTACACCTCTTGACCTTGAATCTTTGTACAGTTGTACAGTATACAACCTGAAAAATAATGTAGAAGCCCTACTTAACACTACCTAGGGGTCTTCCATCAAGAGCGCCAGGGATGACCATAGGTCGGGCATCAGTGGGTAAACTAGGACTTCCCAGAGATTAAGATGGTCCCAGTGCCCAAGAGTCAGGGGTTTTATGAGATGGATGCAGGGACCAGAGATCCCAGTCTCTCACCAGGATTCCTGGGGTTCCTGGGGGTCCTTGGTCTCCAGCCTCCCCTGGCTCACCCTGCAGGAGACAGAGTGGAGTGGGGAGGGATCCCATTTGGCAGATGTTGGAGAAGCTCCCCAGGACAGCCACCCTCAATCAGGACTGGTTTCCCCTCTCCCTCCCCATGCAGGTCCCCACCCACCCGCCCTCTCTCTCCTGGTCTCACCTTCTCTCCCACAGCACCTGGCTGACCAACTCCTCCAGGCAGCCCTGGAGGGCCCTGGAGAGACAGCGAGGAGCAGAGGTGAGGATGTGGAGAATCTAGACATCCCCTTCTTAGGAAATGGGCTCTCCCACTTTTGAGGCATGCTGCTCCCCAAAGTTCTCACCTCTGATCCACTGGGTCCATGGGGACCCCGAGGGCCTGGAGCTCCATGGGGACCCTATGGGAAGGTCAGAATAGCGTTCAGTGGCTCTATGATCCCCCAAAAGGCTCCAATGACTATAGACACCACCCTTAATGCTGGTGGGTAGCATGACCCTTGAAATGACAAGAGTATTCTATGATCACCCAAATGGATTTCATCCCTACCCTGTAACCTTGACCCCACCCCTCCCACATTTCCCTGATGTCCATACCATGGATCCTACATCTCCAACCTCCCCCTTCTCTCCGGAAGGGCCTGGCATTCCCTGTGAACAAACACACAGGATTGTCACACCAGGTGAGAGAACCAGAGGTATCACACTCTAACTCTGATACCCACTTGCAGACCAGGAGGGCCAATCAGTCCCACAAAACCTCTGACTCCATCATCTCCTTTCTGGCCAAAGAGACCTGGGGGTCCCCGGCGCCCCTGAGCACCATCTGCTCCCTAGGAGGACAGGGACAGAGGCATAGTTAGGGTTGGGTTCGAAGACTGGGGATGGGGTTAAGATCAAAGGTCAGGATCGAAGTTAAGGGCTGGAGTCCCAGTTAGGATTAAGTTTGGGGAGGGTTGGAGTTGAGTTTAGCCTTGGGGTCTGGGTAAGGATCACGTTTTGGAAATGAAGTCAAAGGTTAAGTCAAAGATTGAGATTAGTGTTGGATGCTGAGTCAAATTTGGAGTTGAGTTTACAGTAGTGAACAGAGTTCTAATGGCATCGACACAGGATTTATGATTGGGTTGGAAGTTGCAGCCAAGATCAGATTCAAAGTTTGATTTCAGGTTTGAAGTCAGCACTGGAAAGTGGGTCAGAGTTAGAGGTTAAGTAAGGTTAGTTCTAACTCAGGGATTGGTAAATATGGGTTTTGGAGTTGGGATGGAAGTTCAGGTCATGACTAGAGTTGAGATTGGGGTTCAAGGTTGGAACTGAGGTTGGAACTCCAGAGCTGAGTCCATACTGGGTGTTGGCACTCAGGGATAGACCAGGGTTGGGGTTAAGATTGAAACTGAGTCATCCTGACGAATACTTTCCCTTCCTATCAGAGATCCCGAGAGGGTCACAAAGCTCAGAACACTCACTGGGGAGCCTGGGTGTCCTGCAGGACCTCGTATCCCTGTTGGTCCAGGTGGGCCCTGGGGAACAGAACAATATTCAGAAACCCCTCAGGTTCAAAATTGAGGGGATGTACTAGGAATTTAATTCCCTACCTCCCTGCCCAGTTAGAAAATCTACTGCATCAGGATGAGTTGACTACATCCTCCCAACCCTGTCTCCCTAGCAACCAACTGTTGGGATCAGAAATGGACATATGCACCCAGCTTGGCCCTCCCAGACCTTTCCCCAGAAATTCCACAAAGACCCAGGGACTGAGCTGATTGTCTGCTGCTGGGCACTGGAGCTGAAGTTCCTGAAGAGAAGTTGGGGTTCGATGTCTCAGAGCCAGAGACACACTCAGAGAGATATGTGTGCCATCAATGAAAGGCAGAGGAGAGGGTAACCCTTCGGTTCATTTGGAGCCCAGCTATTCTGTCTGTAGTTGGGTTCTGTGCCTCTTTACTCAAGGTAACTTGAGGGGCTCTGTTCCTTGCAGATGTCAAGATGGGGTCCAGGAAGGCAGGGAACACTGTGGGGCCCCCACCATCCCCTTCCATAGCCCAGATTCCCTTCTACCCTGGACCAACTGGATCCCCACTTACCACATCCCCTTTGTCACCTTTGCTCCCCTTGTGACCTGGGGCACCCACTTCCCCCTGCAGAGGAAACAGGATAAGGGAGGACCCGGCCTCTCCAGACCCTCTCCACCCTCCCCCTGGCCCTCTGCTCTCCTGAGCCCCTCACCTTATCCCCTTCCTCGCCAGAGGGTCCAGCAGCACCAGTGGGTCCAGGAAGCCCCAGTGGCCCTGGAATCCCATCTTTGCCAGTAGGTCCTGGGGATCCACGTTCACCCTGGTGGAGGGAGTTGGAAGGGGTGGGAAAGGGTGTGTCAGGGGCCAGGACTTAACACCTCATGGGTTCTGATGTGTAAGGGTCTGGATCTCAAGGTATGGGATGGGGGGCAGGTCACTTACTGGGGATCCAATCTCGCCTGTGGGGCCAACAGGACCTTGGCCTCCACTTTGACCAGGAAGCCCAATGCCTCCTGCTGGGCCCACAGGACCCCGCTCACCAGGGGAACCCTGAAAATGAAGAGTCAGAAATAATAACAGGAGTTGTTGTTAAGTGACGTTGAATCTGTTCTGACTCACAGGAACCCTGTGTAGGTTTTCTGAGAAGCGGCTGGTGGGTTTGAACCGCTGACCTTGTGGTTCACAGTCCAGTGCTGATCCTACAATGCCACACGTATCTCTCATTTATGGAAGGTTTTCTAGCAGCTGGGCTTGGAATTCTGGTGTGGCCTTGTAGGATAAAGCACTGGACCGCAAAGTTGATTTGAACCACAAGGTCGGTAGTTTAAACCCACCAGCTGCTCCTCAGAAACCCTATACAAGGTAGCTGTGAGTTGGAATCGACTCTACGGCACTTAACAACATTGGAGATGGGTGTCTATCAGCATTGTATCTAACTGTTCCCCTAACTACAGCAGCCAGAGGGTTCTGTGAACATCTGAGTTAGGTCAATTCCTCCTCCACCCACAACCCACAAACCATAGCTGCTCCCACCCACTCAGAAGAAAAGCCAGTCTCCTTACAGTGACTTACAGAGTCCTGTCCCAGTCATCTCCCTGCACTGTTTCTCCCACAGTGCTCCCAGCCTCACTGGGCAACTCCAAGTTCCTGAAACACACCAGGCTTACTCCTGCCCCAGGGCCTCTGCATCTGCTGTTCCCTCTGTCTGGAATATTCTTCTCCCATATACCCATTTGGCTCCTCCCTCATCTTCTTTAGGTCTCAGCTCAAATGTCACCTTCTCCAGAAGTCTGGTCTGTTCATTTAAACAGCTGTCCCTCATGTTCTCCCCACTACCCCTTTGTTCTATGTTGTTGGTGACAGTAGTCAGTCTTTGGATGACTCCTTTGTCTCTCCCATTAAAGTGTAAGCTCTGGGAGAAAAGAGGTTTCTAAACTCTGGTAGCGTAGTGGTTACGAATCGGGCTGCGAATCGCAAGGTCAGCCGTTGGAAACTACCAGCTGTTCTGTGGGAGAAAGATGAGGCTTTCTGCTCCCGTAAAGATTTACAGCCTCAGAAACCCTGTACAGGGTCGCTATGAGTTGGAACCAACTTCACGGCACACAACAACAACAACAATCTGCTGATGTCTGGCACTCAGTAGGTGCTTGTTGGATGGATCATTTCACTGAAGTCTACAGTAATCATCATGCCCATTTCACAGATAAGGAAACTGAGGATCCAGAGCAATGAGACTGCCCAGCTAGTGAGTAGCAGAATGAGGTGTGACCCGGGCCTGTTAGACTCCAGAGACAGGGGTACTTAGCCATGACAACGTTTCCCAGATACCCCAAGTCCCCTATACCCTACCCTCACCCAGCAGAAGGGGTTATACTTACATTGGCTCCGATGGGGCCTGGGGGGCCCTTGTCACCCTTCAAACCAGTAGGTCCCTGAGGGAGGAGATGACTCATTCAGGAAGCCCCCAGGTTGCCCCCAGGAGGCTCCCAGCCCCCATCTCCTTCCTGGGACTGGGCACTGAGGTGGGGAGTCCGCCTCCTCCAGGTTACCAGCTGCTATCCTTTTACTTTCAGCAGTTGCCCCACCCAGCATGCCATCACCACTGCCCCTCTGAGCCCTCTTTCTTCTCTCCCTCCTGCCCAGCCAGGCCCTGTCAAGTGGGGCTCCAAGGGTTACTCACCAGGTCCCCAGGGGCTCCTTGGGGCCCAGGGAAGCCCCTGGGTCCAGGTGGCCCTTCCTTCCCAAGAGGTCCTGGTGGTCCCAGGTCCCCCTGCAGGAGTGCAGAGAATGAAGGTCAGAGTGTCTCCCCAGTCTGTGAATCTGCGCCCCTCCCCCACGAGGTTAACCGGAACCCTGAAATGAGTTGGGGCTGTTGAGGGGCTCTTTGGGGGTCCTCAACCAAGATCTTCTGTGGAGCAGGGTCTTACCTTGTTCCCCTCGCTGCCTTCCAGGCCCGGAAGACCTTGTTCACCAGGAGGTCCAGGGGGGCCTGGGGGCCCCCTTTCACCCAGAGGACCCACTTCTCCTGTCTTTCCCTGAAAAGGAACAAGACTCATCTTAAATTGGGTTTGCCTGAGGAGGTCTGTTTGAGAGCCCAGCTTCTCCCCGCCCCCAGCATCTCCCCCAAAGCAAGGCAAAACTGGGCAGGTGACTCAGACCTGAGGTCCCACGACACCAGTGGGTCCGGGTGGTCCTCTCTGACCTTGGAAGCCCTGGGGAGACAAAGTGGGATGTCACATGCAGGGAGGAAAGGGAGGACCTCATGAGGTCAGGGGTCAGGGGATCACTCACCAATTCTCCTCTCTGTCCAGGGTGTCCAGGTCTCCCATCTTTTCCCTGGGGGCCCTGCAAGACAAGGGGAGAGGGAGAATTGGAGCATAGATACAAGTGTTCCCACTCTGTGGGTCCCCCACCCAGTCCTCAGTCAGGGTGAGTTTACTCACAGGAGGGCCCTTTGGCCCAGGGAATCCAGGGGGTCCTTGCAGACCGAGAAGACCCTGAAATGGGACCAGAAGTCATTATCCAATCCCTCCTGTCTGTAATGACAAACTTGTACATATTAAGCACTTACTGTATGCCAGGCACAAGGCCAAGCACTCGATACACAGTGCATTGTTTCACTTGCCACTGCAGCCCTTTGGGGTGAGGACTGTGGACAATCCCATTTTACAGAGAAAACTGAGGCACAGAGAGGTTAAGTGACTTGACCAAGTCACACAGCTGGTGAGTGTCAAAGCTAGGGTTTAAACTCACAGTTCTATAGCTTCAGAGGCTGTTCTGCTTCCACTGTATTGTCATTTTCCCCATCCCCTGGGCTTGTCCCCGCCCAGCATCTCTCTCTCTCTTACACACACATAAACACACACACACACTAACCTTTTCTCCAGGGACCCCCGGGGCCCCGTCTTGTCCAACATCTCCCTAGGATAGAATGAATGAGACTCAGGCCCAGAACAAACCCAACTGGGAAAACTTGGGAGAGAGACAGCTAATCTGGGTGTCCACCCCATACCTTGGGGCCTGGCTGTCCTGTGGCACCTGGTTGGCCCCTGTCTCCTCGGGAACCCTAAGCAGGAAAAAGGTAAAGATTAGAATGAGAAGTTGGGGAGGGGCTAGGAGATGAGACCACGGCATCCAAGTTGAATGGATCATCTTCCTGAGCCCTGCTCCTGCCCCTCTGGGGACACGGGCATAACCTCTCCACCACCTCTCTTCTCCAGCACCCCCCTTTGCAGCCCTGCTCCCCTCCCAGGCCCAGGGTGTGGGGGTAGCAGCTCTCCATAATAGGGCATTCTCTTACTGGTGGTCCCCGCTCTCCTTCCTGCCCTGACTGCCCCGCCTTCCCCTGAAAAGGAAATTGGGAGGGGAGAGGTAAAAGGGAGTTATGGTACAAAGATATGACACGCACACACAAATGCACAGTTACAGACCTAGAAAGATGTCTACACACAATTATTCACAAGTTTTTATTCACACACACACACACACCACTTACATGCAAAACCCCACAATGATCACAGATACCTAGTGATACATACAACCATACCATTACACACATACAAAGCCCAAACACACAAGCTAGTATGTTCACATGGACTTCCACTTGTCACAGTCACAGAGCACACCATGCACTTGCTATTGTTAAGTGCCGTTGAGTCGCTTTCGACCCCATAGTGGCCCTGTATAGGGTTTCTGAGGAGCGGCTGGTGAGCTTGAACCACTGACTTTGCAATCTAGCGCATTAACCCACAGTGCCACACCAGGACTCCGCACCATGCACTTAGCAATCCACAACTTAAAGTTGACACTTGGAGCTCATCATATCCTTTCCCCTTGCACGTGTGTATACCCAGTGTGAACACACACATGCGTGGATTCATAAGAGAACATTGTTGTTAGGTGCTGTTGAGTTGGTTCTGACTCATAGTGACCTTTGAACATCAGAACGAAACACTCCCCAGTCCATCTTCGTAATCGTTGCCATGCTGGAACCCATAGCTGGTGCCACTGTGTCAATCCATCACATTGGGGGTCGTCCCCTTTTTTGCTGACCCTCTGTTTTACCATGGTCCCTCCTGATAACATGTCCAAAGTATGACATGAAATCTGGCCATCCTGGCTTCTAAGGAACATTCTGGCTGTATTTCTTCCAACACAGATTTGATTGTTCTTCTGGCAGCCTGTGGTACTTCCAATATTCTGCTCCACCTCAAATGCCTTAATTCCTCTACGATCTTCCTTATTCATTGCCCAACTTTCACAGGCATATGAGGCAATTGAAAATACTATGTATGGCTTGAGTCAGATACACCTTATTTCTTAATCTAACATCTTTGTTCTTGGGCACTTTAAAAAGATCTTGTGCAGCGAATTTGCCGAGTGCAACACATCGTTTGATTTCTTGACTGTTGCTTCCATGAGTGTGGATTATGGATCCAAACAAACTGATGTTTTGGCAACTTCAGTCTTTTCTCCATTTATCATGCTGTTATTTATTGGTCTAGTTGTGAGGATGTTTGTTTTCTTTACACTGAGGTGAAATCCATACTGAAGGCTGTAGTCTTTGATCTTCATCAGTAAGTATTTCAAGTTCTCTTCTCTTCCGGCAACCAAGGTTGTATCATCTGCATATCTCAGGTTGTTAATGAACCTCCCTCAAATCCTGATGCCATGTTTTTCTTCGTATGAGGACATGGTAGCTGTGTGCAGTGGAGTCAGTTCTGACTCATAGCGACCCTGTGCAGGGTTTCCGAGGCTGTAAATCTTTGCGGGAGCAGAATGCCTCATCTTTTTCCTGCGGAACAGCTGGTACTTGTGAACTGCTGACCTTGTGGTTCACAGCCGGATTCGTAACCACTGTCCTGATAAATACACCAGTATACATATACCAACCAGTTACCATCAATCAAGTCAATTTTGACCCATAGCAACTCTGTACAGAACAAAACTGGGCTTTGTAGAGTTTTCAGTGGCTGAGTGTTTTGTAGCTAGATCATCAGGCTTTTCTTTGGAGGAATCTCCAAGTGGACTGAAATTCCCAACCTTTTGGTTAGCAACTGAGTGTGTTAACCATGTGTGCTATCCAGGGACTCCACTACACATAGATCCAGTTGCATATACCCAATGGACATTTACACAGTTACAATATACACACAGTAATATAATGCATGCATGCATATACCTACTCAGTGTATACAAAAATACGTCTGTGTAATCCATATCCTTTTACATGTATGCACACACTCCTCACATGCTATGCCATACACATACATGCAGGTCCATGATCTTGTTTGCCCAGACACAGGTCTTCAGACAGCAACACTGAACCCCCTCTGATCTACATACTTACAAGACACAATCACACCTGAGCTCACAGGTATACAGGGCAGTGCCCTGCATGTAGTGTGTGATACCTTACATGTATTCTGCATGAACATAGGAGTATGTATGCAAATAGGTCAGGTACAAACACAGCCACAAGGTCAGACAGGACCTTCCCTCTGCCCTGGTCCCAAATCATGACTCACCCGCTTTCCTTTCTCTCCTAATGGTCCCAGTGGCCCGGGAAATCCAACAGATCCCTGAGACAAGAAAATCAGAAGAGAAGAGATAGGCTGAGGAGGTGGCATCATACCCAGTCCAGTCACACCACTTTTTTGAAGCCCTTTCCGGGCCACTGACTCCAGAAATTCCCTTGGTCTTTCCAACCCCAGCCTCCTCCAAGGCAGCCTCTTGCCTTCTTCTCTTCCCACATTCCCCACTCTCTCGTTCCTCTGCCATCACACTGGCCTCTTCAATGTTTCTCAGGTACACCATACACTCCTGCCGCAGGGCCTTTGCACTGGTTGTTCTTTTTGTCTAGAATCATGTTCTCCCAGGTTTCCACAAAGTGAGCTACCCCTTACCATTTAGACCTCATTCAGATGTCACCTCCTTAAAGAGGTCTTCTGTCACCATCCTGACCACCACGTCCTTCAAGCCATTGACCCCTTTTGTTTTTGCATGATGTTGTTCTTGTTGTTAAATGTTGTGGAATAGGTTCTGTATAGGGTTTCCAAAGAGCAGCTGGTGGGTTTGAACCACTGACCTTGCGGTTAGGAGTGCGGTGCTTATCCTACAGCACCACATCAGGAGTTCTTGTAATACTTGTATTAAAATGACCTTATTTCCTTGCTTACTTATTCAATGTTGGGATTTCCCACTAGGATACAGGCCACAGGTGCTATTCCCCACAGCTGATTGTTTATTATTGTTAGCTCCATCAAGTGAACCCCCAGCTCGTGACAACTCCAGGCACAACTGCATGAAATGCTGCCCAGTCATGCATCGACCCCATGATTGGTTATACAGTTTGCATAGGCTGGTTTTCAAAAGGATATCACCAGGCCTTTCTTGCTAACCCATTTTTATTAGGAAGTTTCACTGAAATCTGTTCAGCATCTTAGCAACATGCAAGCCTCCACTGACAGACAGGTGGTAGCTGGGCAGGAGGTGTATTGGCCGGGAATCGAACCCAGATCTCATTCATGGAAGGCAAGAATTCTACCACAGAGTTACCACTGCCTTGTTGTTGTTGTTAAGTGCCCTCTGGTTGGTTCCTAGCAGATGTTTACTCAATATATGTCAGCGAAAACTAACACCATAATCAACGCCCATGGAAGCAGTGGTCAAGAAAACAATCAGTGTATTGCCTTGGACACATCTGCTGAAAAAGTTCTCTTTAAAATGTTCAAAAGCAAAGATGTCACTCGGCAGACTAAGTGCTTCTGACCTAAGCCATGGTATTTTCAACTGCCTCATGTACATGCAAAAGCTACACAATGAATAAGGAACACAGAAGAAGAATTGATGGCTTTGAACTATGGAACTGGCAGAGAATATTAAACCTATCATGGACTGCCAGAAAAATGAACAAATCTCTATTGGAAGAAGTATAGCCAGAATGTTCTTAGAAGAGGGGATGACAAGACTTTGTCTCACATATTTTGGACCTGTTAGCAGGAAGGACCAGTCCCTGGAGAAGGGCATCATGCTTGGTAAAGTAGAGGGTCAGCAAAAAAGAGGAAGCCCCTCAACAAGTGGTTCTAACTATGGGTTCAAGCACAGGAACGATTGTGGGGATGGTGCAGGTCCAAGCAGTGTCTTGTTCTATTGTACCTAGGGTCACTATCAATGGAGCTGACTTGATGGCAACAACAAAACTAACTCTAGCCCATACTGTCCTGCCCACCTGGAATGGACCCTCCCCACAGTGGGAGGAAGACAGCAAAGGAATCTGATCTCCCTCTGGCCCTTCACTATACAGACTAAGTCCATATCAGGAGATATACTTCCCTCATTACCCAACAAGTCTGTGGTGTCATCCAGCCTCAAAGCCCATTCTAGGCCATCGCCCTTCCCTTTCTATCTGAGGTCCCCAAACCCCTGTGCTTTTGAAGGGGCCTGCACACACACACAGAGAAATTTGCTAATGAATCAAGTTCTTACTAACCACACCTAGCAATATGACTACTTCTACTATAGCTGAAATCCCCTTCCCTGGGCACCTACTCTGTGTATGACACAAAGTCTGTGCCAAGGACTTGGCCTGCATCATTGAAGTCTGAATTCCAAACCCACTAGACCAGGTGGGTGGCCCTGGACAAATGGTTTAACCTCTATGAGCATCAGATTTCTTGTTTATAGCCTGGAGATAGCAACGATACTTCCCTCAAAAGCTTTTGGGTAGGATTAAGTATATGGTGTATAAAAAGTGCTTTCTGTGGTATCTGGCATATATTGTTGTTGTTAAGTGCCATTGAATTGGTTCTGACCCATAGCAACCCTGTATAGGGTTTCCAAGGAGCAACTGGTGAGCTTGAACCAGCAACCTTGTGGTTCAAATTGACTTTGCAGTCCAGTGCATTCATTCAGAAGGGAAATGTTTCAGAAATGTTAGCTGCTGCTGTTATTTATCATTTTGATTGCTGACCTCCACTTAACTGATACACTATGATGTGATGGTGGACCCTAATAGAATGGGAGAAAAAACTGTAGAAGAGAACCTCAAGTTCCTAAGAACAGTAACAACAGTAAAATAACGGATCCACTAGACGGGTTGAGACTATAGGACTTTCTGGGACTGTTGCCCTAAAACACTCTTCAAACCTGGAACTGAACTCCTGAGGTTACCTTGTAGCTAAATAACAAATTGGCTCAGAAAGAATGCATATCATCTGTAAGTACTGTGATCCTTTTGAAAATCACCTATATGAGACCAGTCAATAATTACTTTCAAACAAAACTGAGATGGTAGAAGGGCAGGGAGACTAGAGGAATAGGCACAGAACAACCAGAATGGAAATAATGAAAATGCTCACACATTGTGAGGAATATAAACAATGGCACTGAAAAACTCATATAGAAATTGTTGAAAGGAAACTTAAAACTGCTTTGCAAACCTTCACTGAAAACACAATAAAATGATTTAAAAAAAAAAAGTTTTCCAACATATTATCAAATATCTTAAGACAATGAGTCAGTGATCCTGGGAGCTCAGGACCCTAATCTCAAGGGACACCATGGTCAATTGGCATAACATAGCCCACAAAGACAATGTTCTACATCCTGCTTGGGAGAGTAGCATCTGGGATCTTGAAAGCTTGTGAGCGGCTGTCTAAAGTGCAGCTATAGGTCTGTACATGTGCAGAAGAAAGAAGAGTGATAAGAATTGAAGATGTTTGCAATCAATCAGTTCAAGGGACTCATGGACCATGTGAATATCAGTCTGCATGACTCTGAGACCAGACAAACTGGATAGTGACCAGTTACCATTGGCAACTGCTCTAAAAGGGATCCCATAAGAGGGTCCCAGATAGAGTAGGAGAAAATGTGGAACAAAACTCAAAATTATCTAATAATAATAATAAACAGATTTACTGGTCAGAAAGAGACCGGAGGAACCTGAGACTGTGGCCCTCAACCACCATTCAGGTCTGGAAAGGAACACACCCTTGTGGCCCAATTTTCAGCCAAGCAGTAGATAGGTTTATAGTGGGGTGGGAGGGGACAACAACACTGGTAAGGTATGCTCATCATGAAATGATCAATCATTCAAAATCAAAGGGGCAACATGTGCCTAAGGACAAAGTTAAGAAGGGGCGAGAAGATGGAAGGAGGGAATGGAACTAGGAACCATAGGGAGGAAGCAGGGAAACTGTTGTTGCTCCGAGGAGGGAATTGCAATCACTGAGATGAAATGAAGTGTATGATTTGTTGAATGCAAAGCTGATGATCTTGTCTGTAAACCTTCACTCAATTCACAATATAACATTTAAAAATTTTTAAAGTTGTCATTGAGTCGCCTCTGATCCATGGTGATGTCACAGTGGTCAGTGAGGAACTGTCCCCATAGGGTCTTTGATGACAGATTTTTCTGGAAGTACATCACCAGGTCTTTCCTACAAGGTACCTATGCAAAGACTGAAAGTGCCCACCTTTTGGTTAGCAGCCCAGAGTGTTAGTCATTTGCAATACCCAGGACTCTCTTAAATAGAAAAGCTATATGTAAAAGGAAGTCACTTTAAAAATGACTGTTAATTAGGTGTGGGCAAAAGAATGACATGAGGAACAAACAAGATGGCGGATCTGGTGGACGTGTAGCAAAGAGCTCTGCCAACAACAACACAGAATATCCGACCAAGCAGGCTCAGGGGCTGGTCCCAGAACTCTGAACCACATATAAAAGAATGCTTAGAAGGTTGGCAGGCTCACAGCTGGGGGAAGTTGTGGCAGAAGCAAGAAATCTTTTGCTTTCTAGTCCAGGATGCTTGGCTGCTCTAGGAGCCACCATCTTGGGCGAGACCATGTCGGGGAAGGATTGGAACGGCCACAGACGCCTGGCAGGAACCGCTGAGATAAAGGTGTGGACATTCTTTTCTTTTGGTATCTGTTCATTGGTCCTTGCTGTCTGTGTACCTCCATTCTGGTGACTATAGGGGTGCCTGAGCTAGTGGGC